ATTTAAGGCACATTCCTTAAAAAATGATAATGATCTACATACAATAAATTGAATGCCGACTGCTGCAATTAATTTTCTTTTGAGAAGTCATCATAAAATTTTCCTTTGCATAACAACTGAGAAAATGCAAAGGCCAAACAACTAACGGTTCATTCTGTCATGAATGCAAATATTTTTAATCTCCTACATTTACGATTTTCTCAATGCCAAACTGACTGACGACGACGCTTTCATCTTTAGTTAACATTCGAACGAATTTCTGCTGAAGGAGAAATTTAATTTTCATGCGCATTAACATAAAGCATAATTGCGAACAATTAGCATTTCAAAGAGAATACGTTATCGATTTTCGAGCTCAATAACAAGTCAATACATAAACAGCAATGTCTATAGAGTAATCCAGATACTCACACAAATATGCATGTATTACTTAGCTGAGGTCCTGTGCATCTCACTGACTATTGTTAGATAGAGAGTTATGCGAGTGTAAAGGTACTCATAATATTTTTTACTCATTTTTTACTACTTTGAAATCCCATTGAATACGTATTATGGTGGCTTGGCATTACCGATTTAATGCGATGACCTCTCATTGTGCATACTAAGTAAGTACTTTTTAGGTATTGCCAGTTTCCTAGATATTCATGCATACCTACATACATACATATTAAGCATAATGTCATGCAATTACTTCCAATGACAGAAATAATGCGAACCGTAAAATTCTGAATGCAGAAATCGATAATAAAATAAAAAAAAATATGTATAAACCATATTAGCAGGATTTTTGCATGAAAGCTGTTATTGAAATTTATTTCCGTGCATCTGTGGTCAGTGATGCAGCCAGCTGTGGACGTGTAATGATTTGCATTCGTTACATTTTTGTTTTCTATTTCCTGCGATATTTTTTTTCAGAGCTAGTTAATATTTAATGGAAAAAATTAATATAAAGTACGTACACTTCGTTTGTTAATGGAATAGGTTTGTGCAAACTTTTTTGTTAGCTTCTCAGAAGTAGAAAAAAAACTGTATGTACTATGTATTTACATACATATACATATTTATTGAAGCGCTTTAGCTCCCAATTTATATGAGAGTATGAGGGTGACAGTAGCTTAACTGACATTTCAAAAAAAATTAAGGGGCGCCTTAAAATACATTACTAGAATCGAAACGGTAATAGTTCGAGGCACGCCATTTTAGTATTCCTTTTACTAAAATATGGTAGGTGCAGTGAACTTTTTAGTTATTTTATGCATTTATTTTTTATGGATCCTTCTTTTACATATTAATAAAGATTTTTTTTTTGTATATAGGGTCCGACTGCCCCCATGGCCTCATATCTACAATTTAACAAAAAAAGCTCACATTTTTTTGAAGTAGCACGTTTTAAGTAGTTTTTCTCTGGAACTATTTCTTGGTGTCTTTTAAGCGCTCAGATACTTGTTTCTCTCCCAAGAGAAAAGGCATAGTAGAAATTAAAGAGAATTGAAAGGGGTCAAACACAGAGAAAGCAATTTCCATACTTCCGAAGTTTACCTGGATTTTCTTAAGTTCTTCTAATTTTAAAGATTTACGAAATTTAATTTTTCTAGCGTTTTATCTCTTTTTTATAAAAAAAAATATTTTGAGTGACAAAACTGATTCAAGCACCACTATGTATTTCAGTACAAAAAATCAACCATTGAAGCTAAAAATTTGAAAATTTGTATGACGACTAACTTTAGAAACTTAAAGAATGCAATAAAAAATATTTTATAAAACTCTTCGTTCTACGGCGAATACACTGGACAGTGGGGCCATAGATAGATAAAAAAGGTAGTGGTCTCAATTATTTTTATTATTTTCTTTAGGGAAATGTATTTCAAAACTATGAGCAATGTCCAACATTTTTTAAATCTTAATTGAAGCGATTTTTTTTTTCAAGAGCTAAAATGTATTTGAAAACTATGAGCAATATCCAAAAATTTTTTTTGTTCTTAATTCCAAACAAAATATTTTTTTTCAATAGCTAAATTGTTCTTTTAACCCTATCAAATTTAAAAAAAAAACTATGATTTTTCAAGACTGTTATTGAGTTTTATACAACGATTTGTTCTTTTGTTTAGTGCTTCTTCCATTTCTCCTAAAAAAAAAAAAACAAATCATAGTACAAAGCTCAATAAAACTGTCGTTTCTAATGTTCGGTAAATTTTTCCAAGTTTGGTGAATTTTTTTCCGAATAAAAACAACTTTTTTTATCAAAAGAATTTTTTTTAAAGTAATATTTTTTTAATTGGAGTTAAAAAAAAGTCCAATATTTTATAAATTTCTTAATATTGGTAAAATGTTTTTTAATCTCGTAACAAAAATAACTAATGGATATTTGTCACAAACTAAAAGTAAAATATATAAAACTCACATAATTTTCTTATGAGTGGAATAACTTTTTGGGAAAAATGTTTCCCTTAAGAGAAAAAGCTCTTACTTACGAAAAAAAGTGTTAAGCACAAAAATTCGATCCAATATACATATTTTACGCTGGCATTGAAAGGGTTAATATGAAAAAAGCAAAGTCTAAAATAACACAAAGCTATGCATTTACACTTCACTGCTTTTATATAGCTTTGAGCATGTATTTGATTATTTTCATTCTCTTCAAAAAACAAAACTAATTAAATTACTTTCAGTGGATTATTTAATATCAGATGTGTTTTATATACGTACATATGTGTGTATGTACTTACAATTTAGTTCACTGCACTTGTGAACACCAGCACTTTATCAGCACACTATTCTCCTGGACTCTAGCAGCCACTTAACGGTCCTTCGCTGTTGCCACTATAGCTGCTAAGTACCGTACAAATATTTTAAATTCTGTAATGAGTAAAAAACACAAACACAAGCTTAGCTAAAAAACAAAACAAACTAACGAAATTAGTTAAGCGCATTTTCTCATTTTGAAAATTAAAGTAAATATTTGCGAAAGGCATAGAGTAGCACAAAAATAAAGCAAACAAAAAACAAAAAACAAACTGCAACAATTTCATTAATAGGGGTCGAGGACTATGAAAGTGCGTTCATTTAACTGCACTTATACTACACACTCACGCATATATGTATGTATGTACAGTATATTTTGCTTAGCTGCACATCCTTCTTTGCACGAAAAACTTGTGCACGTAACCGAAAAAGGCACTTAAGCGAATTTTCTTTACTACTTCAATGAGGAAGCTATCCGAATCCCTATGAAACCAAATCTTGCCGGAGCACTTACCATGTAGAAATTACTGCAAGCGAAATTTTTACCGAATGTTATCTAATTATCTATATAACAACATAAATTGATAGCCATTTTCGTTGTTCTGCGAGATGAGCAAAATAAATAAAAGGTTGTAAAATTAGGTAATTCTAGGGCCAGTGCAGGTAAACGTAATACTTTCTTTGATAATTGATACTAGTCGCACAATTTTTAAGGCAGGTATCGCCAATGTGCAGGTATGTTGAATGCATCTATCGAAGCAGTTTCCTTATAAATGTTAGAAATAATGCTTTTGATGCGCATTTTGGGGTAGGTATCTTAAATGTGCACTTAAGCATAGAGGCAGCAAAGCAAAATATACTGTATATACATATGTAGGTACATACGAGTAATCTATATGTGTGTTTATGTAAATATGTATTTGTAGGTAAATACAGCATTGAAATTGAAAAGCAAAAACGAGTAGGGAAAATTTCATTAGCTAACAGTAGCCAAACACCACACTCAATGCCACACAAATACATCCATGCATTCACACACAAATTCCAATGCAATAAATTGCCATTGCAGGCAAATGAAATGGCACAACCTTTCAGCTAACCAAAATGAACAGAGTGTGGAGCAAAATACGTGCCACCTGCTATTCCACGTGAGCTGTCGCGTGAAAGAAGAAATAAACCAGCATCCGTGCGGAAAACGAAAAAGTCAGCAGTAATGTTGAGGTGCCCATGCCTGCTGTGGAAAATTTATGTGCCACTGGATTTCTGTTTTTTTCCGAACCAACAACAACTGCATATTTTTCCCACTAGCCCATTAGAATACTATTAACACTTGCTTACACAAACACACACACATACCTATATACCTTAGTTTGTATAGACATTGCTGCTCTTGAATTTTTGTTTTAATTTTTTGCTGGCGAGTGTCAACTGCTCAACACCTTCACGTCGCACAGTGTGAAAAATTAAGCGTTTTGTTATAAAAATTTTTATAGCTCGAGAACGGGAGAAGCTAGGAAATATATTTAAAAAAAAATTAAATCTGAAATGTATAAATTAGGAAAAATTTTCTCGCTGGATATAAAAAACTACCTTGACTTTTAAAATGACCTCCAAAAATTTAGGGGAACCGTCAAATTGTATTTAAAAATTCTTTGTGTGAAATAAGTGTGAAATTCCACAACAATTGTTCAACCTAATTTTTAAAAAGTTTCAAACATATACTTTTGCTTGAAATAACCCATTTTCATGGCATAAAAATCCGAAGAAAACATTTCAAATTATTTTAAAAAAGTACACTACATGCCGTTTTTCGGTAAAAAAAATAAAAAAATTTACTTTTGAGGGTCGATCTTAAGGTCAATGAATTTTTTATTTTTTTTTTTTACTTGAAAACAGCATGTAGTGAAGTTTTAAAAAGTCAAAAAATAAAAAATTTGTATCCTCTTTATTTTAAGGTAAACTTAATGTCAAGGTAATTTTTTACCTAACTTTTCCTCTCAATTCGCCATCTCAAAAGCTGCAAAATACTTTTAAAATTATTTGGCTCTTTCTCAAGAAATCTAATTTTGTCACAGAAAGAAGTTAAATTTCCACACTGTGCGCCGCGCATTCAATCGGAGAGCAAATCTCATGAAAAATGCAAATGACACCTGCTGTTCGCTTGATTGCTTCCCTACACTTTTCAGTTCGTTTCGTTCTTTCGCTTGAATGTGGTCCCTTTGAATTTGTTTTCATCTGTAACGGTTCAAGTGTTTTATGTATGTATGAATGTATGTAAATTCTTCTAACTCATTCCATCAAGCGTATATAAATGGCGATTTACTCCCTGTCTATGCACTATTTATTAGATTACCAGTTGAGTTCAGTCACAACAGGAAAGAAGTACTTAAATGGTGCAAATCAAGCTGACCACGACAGCTTTAAATTAATAACTTTGCGAGTTTAATTTTTCCATAAAGGTAAAAACATGGCTGTACGTTGAAGGCTAATGCAAGATCGACGCTAACGTCACTACAAAGGATATGACCAAAGGATAAAACACTCTTGTTGCTTAGTATGCCATCATAGCTGATTTTCAAGAGCTCTAGGTCAAAACTGTATATTGATTTGCGATGGACTTGAAGTAGTCGCTAACTGTTCGAAACCCACGATAATATTGTACACTAACTCTCGTTCGTGGATAGTTTGTTCGATCGGTAACTTGAGTCCCTGAGCGCAGTCGAATGTATTTCTAAAACTTCAAAAATCTTGCAAGAGCGGGGGAAAGGCATCTGAGATACGATCAGAGGATGCTGTCTTTGAGATGGACCAATCTACAGATTTAGTAGTTAAGTAAATGAGCGGAACTTTCACGGAAAAGCATGTAAAATTGATTAAAATTTAATGTAATACAGTTCCTGTATTCAAGCCCGGTTCAATCGAACATCAACAAATAAAAAAATAAAAAACTTTTTTTCTAATAGCGGTCGACCCTCGGCAGGCAATGGTAAACCTATGAGTGTATTTCTGTCATGAAGAACAGCTTCTTCTAAAAACACAATCGCCTTTCGTGTCAGCGTAAAACTGTAGGTACCTCCCCCTTGTGTGACAATATCAATTTTTATTGGAAATGCTACGACCACGAGTCTGTGTAGAATATTACAACAATTTCAAACAAATATGTGAATTCATAACTTAAAACCATTTTGGTGTATTAAAAATCATCATTTGCTCTAAGCAAAACTAACTTCTCGATTACTGTAATCGTAATAATGAATTGCATGACTGCGATTGCTTTACTTGTAATCCTGAAAATTTAACGATTACGACTACTTTCAGATTTGTTTTAAATTCTAGTAGAATAAAGTGGCTGCGAAATTCCGTTAATTTTTTAACATATTGTTTTTTTACGGTATTGTCCATTTTCCTCCATGCAAAAAAGTTGTCCAACATGTACATTAGTGCGGAGTAATTTAATTTCGATAAAAGCGTATGGATATTCGAATACCACGTTCGATTCTATATACCAAAAATAACGTTTGACCCTCCCACTTTTTAAAAGAAAAGTCAGTGTATTACAGTCGATTTCACCAGCATTTTAAATGGAAAACGATTTTTTATTTTCTGTCAATTTCCATAAACAATTAAAAAAATAATAATTTTTCACTTAAATTGCTCTCGTGAAATTTGCTGTTATAATTTTTCTGAACGAAATTCATTTTTCATTTACAAAATTTTGTGTTTTCTTCATATTTCGTAAAAAATGCTTTGTTACAAAGAAAAATAAATTTCGACCAAAAAAGTTACAATATACTTATTTTTCTTTTGAAAATTGGAAGGGTTAAACGTCACTTTTGGTATATAGTTTGTTCGCCATTTTTTTCTTAGAATTAATCGTGGAATTTGAATTTGCATACATACACTTTCACCTAAAATTTTGCTCCGAACGAATACCTCCGCCCTAGTGGACATAAAAGCATCCACACACCTATGCGATTCTGTCGCAACGAACCCGCACCGATTTTGATGCTACAGACGTTACTGCTTCGAAAACGTAAGTACGCGCACATCTGTGCGATTTTATCGCAGTAAAAACTGTCAATTTATTGACAAACAAAAAATATTTTTCAACAGAAATAAAATTCTTATCTTTTTCACATCAAATATGTTTTGTTTTCTTGCGTTCAATTCTGCTTTAATATTTTAAAATCCTTCCATTGACCTTTTTCGTTCTGAAAACGCGGCAGTCTGCGATTTCGGCACAACCAAAAGTAGAACTGTGAATGTTCGAATAAATCGCTGCAGCAAAATCGTACAAGTGTGTGGTTCCTCGTTTAAAACTATGGTCGGCATTGTTGTAATTTTTGTCGGAATAGATTCGCACCGACAGAATCGCATAGGTGTGTAGACACCTTAATACTTTTTATAGAAGAAAATGAGTGACACCGTCAGTCAACTAAAACTTGCACTTTTTTATGGTAGAATTGCCAAATAAAATCTTTATTCAATTTTAATTTTAAGCTCTCAGTCATACATATGTATGTACATATATTTACTTTCTAAACTGGATAAAACTCTTTAAACCCACGGAAATATTAAAATTAAAAAAGAAAACTTTGTATGAAATTTCTTTTTTACATTCTAGTGAACTCTCTATTATTTTCTTTTTGTCTGTTACTATTTGATTACAAAACGTTACAATACTAAAAATTTCATCGCTGTAAAAATAAAAATAAATGTGTTACGTCTTAAATATTCTGACAATCTGTTGCATCACTCAACTGGAGCCATGTTTGCGTTGAGCAGCTTTTCTTCTACTGCTGATGGGCACATGTCAGCCAAAGCGTTTCATTTCGTTTTAGTATTATTGCCATATTTCCCTTCTACATTATTTTCATTTTATTTGATGTGTCAGACCAATGAGCCAAGACGTTTCAAATAAGACAGGTAGCGAATCAGCAAGATGTTTTATACATATTGGCACTTTAGAAAAACAAACGTTTTTATGTAGGTATGTATACATATTGTATGTAGTGTACATATTTACTTGCATACAAAAGTCCATATGAGTCCTTGAATTTCTGCTTACAGCGAACTACTGATGTGTTGTCAAAATGTGAGAAAGCATATGTCGAAAAGTAGAAAACGCTGATGAGGAGCAAGTGCACATATGTATTTATTTAGGTATGTAAACAAATATATTTACTTATTTATTAATACATATTAACTGCCAGCGTATTTATACATATGTGTGTATATTTAAATTAAACTTGCCAACTTTTTCTATCTGCTTCATTGGCATTAAAAATAATTATGGGTAAATAAAATAAAAAGCACATTATGAAATAAACACACAATATTCTTAGGAGTGTGCATATATGTATGTAATTCACAAACATATGTTGTGCACTTTTGTATCAGCATCAGCTGTTCACTTGAAATGAGTAATGAAATGGGTGAAAGCACATCCGACTTGAAATTGGAGCGTAAACTTTTGTGAATGCACATCTGGCATAAATTGGGGCGCATATGCACATAAGTATAAATGTTCACTAAGAAAAAAAAAATACTATCAAAATTAATTCAGAGAAAGAAAACGACTTCATGACACAGTTGGACATAATTTATTCGCAACACGAATGACAAATAAATAAACTGTTGTTTTCGTTAGTCGTAAATAATAAATAACTCAGTTTATTCAACGAAAAAATTTTCGAAAGACGAATAATGTATGTTTGTAATGAATTTGACACTCTATTTAAGAAAAGATTCCGGAACAAAAGTTTTTAACGAAGATATATTCTGTCGAAATCCACAAAAAAATCTGGTTTTTGTTAACTTTGGTCATAAAGTTGGCACGCCCATTTCTAGGAGTTTGTCGCTCTAAACAAAAATCTACCCGAAAAAACCTTTTGTACTAAATGGACATTCTCCAGAATCTGCAGTAAAATCTAAATTTTAGCAAAAACACGATTTTTGACACCTTGCTAACTTTAACCCTGTGTAAGCCAAATTTCTTTATTGAGGCCAGAAAATAACTTTTCCCTCGAGAAAGAAACGTTAACTATGCGAACAATTCATTAAGGAACTAGGTTCTTAAGGCGAATATCGAGTCGTTCGTGAGATAGAGCTAGAAACGGTCACCAAGGCCTTGGAAAACTGGGTTAACAGCATGCGCTACTGCAAGGCAAGCCGAGGGAGGCACATTAATGAAATCGTGTTACATAAATAAAGCGAATGTTTACTCTTTCGAATAGAACGAAGATATTTTGAAAAAAAGATGTTTTCTCCTTTTTCTAATTTTTAAAAAGAAATTCCTATATTAACCACCCCATTTTTGAGATATTGTGCTTTAAAAAATTCTTAGATTGACCTTTGATCATTAATAACTGTTTTTATTCTTGTTTCATACGAAAATAACCGTTCTGCTCAACTTAACATAAACTTAAAGCTGCATCTTCTGGTTAAATGTTACTACGAAAATGTATTATAGAGAGTAGGGTTATATAGGTTAAAACTAGAACAAATAAAATGCTAATATTTTATATTTTTTCAGTTTTTCTTTTAAAATAAGCATTTCTAAAAAAAAAATTTTTATTTTTGCCCATTTGTCGGAAATAAAGATAATTTAAAACCGTGATGGAGGTATACTTTTTCCTATGAGTAAATTCATATCAAGTTCACTAAAAAAGAAACCGCATTAAAACCATTTATTTCCAAGTTATATACATATACACATGTACAAATGAATGTTCCACTCCATATTATTTAATGAACAAATAATTTCAGCGGAATTTCTCCCAAAAAAAAAATTTAAAGTAAAGTTATGTTTGCAATTAACTTTGATTGCTGTCGACTTTGGCAAAATTCTCAGTAATGCCAACAAAACAACTGGTAAATAACGTCAATAGCGTTCACTGCCAATTAGCTAAAACGCATGTTACTCATACGACTCGGTGGTCGCTTTGGCGCAGCCCAACAATTTCGCTAATTGAATTTCTGCGCCAGCTGCTATTCACCACTTTGTAGCTGACTTTTATTTCATTTTTTTTTTACTAGTGCATTTCTCCTTTGACACTGTATTCACTTTAGTTACTTACTACCATAGTTTTTGTGTGGTTTGGGAGATCAAACTTATATGTAGTTAATGAGCTGAAGTTTGTGGCAGCTTGCAAAAGTTAAGCAAATAGCAAATAACAAACCACAAACCGCAATTCGCGTGCCAATAAATGCGGGAAATTTCTAAACAAATTGTTCACAATTGCACTGAAAGTAATTAGTGCTAAAGAGTAGTTAGCGC